CACGTTTCAGGTAGGAAATGATCCCAGAAAAAAGTTTAGACACAAGGAATAGTAAACAAACTGGTAACATGGAGATAAATCCACAATAAATATGTCTATGTCTGTCTGTATAAACCATTACAGTGTCTAATTGATAGAGTTAAAAAAAAAAAAAAAAACAGGCGGAATTAAAATACTGGATAATTGCTTATAAGTCCAGAGGAAGTGACTGAAATCTAGTGTGCTAAAGATCTCTTATCATTGGGGGCAGTGGTTAAGATATTGTTAAATTTTGGTAAGGGGGGACTAACAGATGGCGTAATGGTTATGTCACTGAACTCCCACACACTCAACTATGGTTCAAGTCTGGGACCCAGAGGCTTAAAACTCATGCTGGGAGTGTGTGTGTGAGTGCCTAAAATCCTGAGAGGAGAATGGAGGAGAAGGGATTGGAGCATGGCCATACACCTCCCCCCACCAGGGGTGATTTCTCACTTTTTGTCTCTCTGTCTCTCCAGCAACATTTGAAGACAGTCCAATATCCTAAAATGACATCTGAATAGCCACTGAATTTATGCCAGTTATCTAAAGGGTAAGCTAAGTTTCCCACATCAGCAGGTCTTAACATTAACTTAAAAAAAAGAAAGAACAACCATTTCTTTTTTTAATTTTTTTTTGGAGAGGTTTTTGCTACAGGACGTGTGTGCTACTTGACAGAGAGACAGAGACAGAAAGCAAGAAATCACCCCCCAGGGGGGATGGCCACGCCTCAATTCCTTCTCTTCCATTCTCCTCTCAGGATCTTGGGCACGCAAGCACACATGCCCGGTGTGAGTTTAAGCCACTGGATCCAGGACTCAAACCGTAGTCAACTACATGGGAGTTCAGCGACATAGCCATTATGCTAACTGCTGGTCCCACCATTTCTGAACATAGAATTTACACCAGTTTCCAAGTCCTTGATCCTAAAATTGTTTTATTAGGTATAAGCTAAGGAAATCAGAAAAGTTTTATCCACCCCCTCCCAGCTGGTGAAATGTAAATAACAAAAGGTCAAGTGTTAGAGCTGGCAGCCAACCTACTCAAACAGGGAACACTGTCTCTGAGAGGTAGAACAACACAGTGGCTAAATAATGTGTCAGCAGTCAGGCAGACCTGAGTTGGAATCCCAGTTCAGCTACTTACTGTTTTCACAAATGTAAAATATGGCTAACAAAAATATATCACATAGGACTCTTGTGACTGTGAATAGGTCACCGTGTAGAAGGTAAACATTTCATATTAGTGCCATTTTTTTATTCCAGAGACCTGACAAAGTCAACCCTTTCTATTTCAGGCAGAAAGGCACATGAACTGCCCCTATCTACAGCTTTCTAGTTTTTCCTTTAAACTCCACAGGAGTTTCTGCACTGAGAGACCAAAGTGGTATAGAGGTTAAGGGCGTTGGCCTGGGATTTGTATTCCAGCTAGTCTACTTACTAGCTTTATGATTCCCGTGCTTCACTTTAGGGTCTTCATCTGTGACATGGGGATGATGATAAAAATATTTACCCGGGGGCCAGCAAATGGCATAATGATTACATTGCTGGACTCCCACATGGTCAACCACAGTTTGAGTCCTGGACATGGGGGCTTAAAAATCAGCCAGGTGCGTATGCATGAGAGCCCAGGATCCCAGAAAGAGAATTGAGGAGAAGGGAATCACCCCTGGGGGGTGATTTCTCACTTTCCCTCTCACTATCTCACTGTCTCTGTCTCTCTCTCCAGCAAGCACATATGCCCTATGGCAAAAAGTTTTTGATTATAGGGACCAGCATATATAATCTACATTATAGGGTTACTATGAGGATTTAACTAGCTAATACAGGAACATGCACAGAATAGTGCCTGGAAGACAGTACAAATATAGTAAATATTAGTCATTACATTTCTCCCATGGGTGATGTATTCCAAATTTTTTGCCCATGGAGAATAATAAAATTACTTTAGAACTCTAGAACATTAGAGTTAGAAGGGCTCTTGGAACCATTTCTAGTCCAACTCTTATTTAATAACTGGCCTCTAGGGAAGACCCGAGTTGGTGAAATGTCCTGACCAAAATTAAAACACAGGCCTCCTAATTCCTGTCTAGTGCTCACTCCTCATTACTGTGCTTATTTTTCTTAATGAAATAGTATAGACCATTCAGTTTCTCTTATAACCACCAGGCCATCTGCTGAAAAGTGCCAGGGCTACTTAAGCATCTGCAAAGAAATAAAAAACATCAAGATTTTTAGGAACCACTGCCTCAGGTAGCATTTTTTGGGAGGTGGGATGAGTAGGGAAAAAAATCAATTTCCCAAGAATTCATATGTAAGAGATACATAAACGTTTAAAATATTAATACAGGAATTAAATAGTCCTCCACGGGGGGGAATGATACCAACTAACATTTGGCGAATACTTTCTAAGTGTGTGACATGGTATTGACTTTTTTCATTGAATCCTCACAACCCACCCCCTTGCTCTAAGTTGCCCTTCTATGTTTTTCCTGCTCAGAGTACATATCATCCCACGACATAACTACCTGCTTACTTTTCTTGATATCTCACCAGACAGTTAAGCTGAAATAGCAAAGAGATCACAATGATCATTCATCTCTCCTTTCAGCAAATATTCTTGAGAACGAACAAGACAGAAATGCTCCTGGCTCACTGTGGCAGACAATACTTACCAAAGATGGTGGCAACAATATTTCTGATTCCACATGCCCTTCTTACAGTGTGACCTCAACATTCCTCCCAATCCAGGGTCAAGGTGAGGGTGTTAACACCATTTCCCCTTGAACCTGCTCCTACAGAGGACACTGGGTGTGATGCTGTAGCTTGTCACACTAGCTGGCAAAACTGCCATGCATTTTGATGTTGCTCTATGGCACTCAACTTGGTATCCTGCTGCCATATATGAGGAAACCCACGCTAGCCAGTACGGAAAGACCACATGGAGAAGTAACCGGCTAGGCTCTGGACATCATGAAACAGACACAAACCTTCCCCACTGTACCTTCTTTGAATTCTTTTTTTTTAGAGGTTTTTGCTATAGGGCACGTGCGCTCGCCAGAAAGAGAGAGAGAGAGACAGAAAGCGAGAAATCACCCCCCGAGGCGATGGCCACCCTGCAATCCCTTCTCCTCCATTCTCCTCTCAGGATCTTGGGCATGCACGCACACGCACCTAGCGTGAGTTTAAGCCACTGGGTCCAGGACTTGAACCACAGTCAACTACATGGGAGTCCAGCGACATAGCCATTAATGTTAACTGCTGGTCTCCCTTTGAATTCTTGACCCCAGAATCACAAGCATAAGAAAATGGTTTCTTGACACCACTAAATTTTGGAGTGGTTATTACACAGGGATGGTAACTGGAACAACCAGAGTTTAATGTCTAACAAAAGATAAAGATACCAAATATATAACTCTAAGGCATTGCCTATACCTAACACAGTAACTAGAAAAGTAAATTATTTGCTGAGTATCTGAACATTTTGCAGTTATTATTATGCTCTAAAGAACTAGGACTTTGAGAGTTCAAGCAACTTGCCTGAGGTTACTCAGGGGGTCAATGGCAGAACAAATTAAAACTCAGATCTAAACCCACATCCTAACATCATACTCTTCTGTCTTCCCCGGTACTTACGATTTTAGTGTAAATACACAGTAGCCTGTTTTAAAATGGGATTCCCAGTATTTAAACATTCTGGACTAATAATAATTCATTGTGCAATTTCATTGAGATGGAAACCCACATATCACATTCTCAGAAAAGCTTTCCCTGACTTTCCAAACTCAAGTAATACCAGCTCCCTCATCTTCCCCAGGCCCTCTACCTCCTACTCCATTATAGTTTCATTTTCCTCCCTGCGCTTATCCCTAGCTGAAATAGTCTTTTATATTAACTTATTCATGAGTCTACTGTTTGTCTGACTTGAATACAAGCTCCTTAAGAGCAGGAACAATTTCTGTCCTGTTCACGGCTATATCGTTAGTGCCTATGGCAGTGCGTGAAATATGGCTGGTGAATTAATCAAAATTATTTACTGAATGAAGCAGTGATTGCATTCAGACGCACTGCATGTCCACTCGATCTCATTATCCACCAAGAAATATGCACACTGGAAAGACAAGATAAAACAGAAACAGCAGAGTTGCAGCAGGATCATTCTACTTAGTAAGATCAGTACAAAAAAATGGAAGGAGGTTTGGGTACATGATACAACTCACTCACTTAGAAAAGCAAAGCATAAACCCTTAGTTGACAGTCATCCTTGCTTCAACCAAGAGTGAGCTGCTGAGGAAGATACTAAAGCTTAGAATGAAGATGTAGGTAATAGGACGGAGTAGGTGGTCACAACTCCTAACTTCCATTCATAACCACTGGTCTCAGCTTTAAAAATAAATAAATATAAATAAATCAGTTTTTCAGACACACTGACCCATGCCAAGGACAACTGCGGGTGACCCTCTAACAGCAGACCTTCTACCCATCACATGGCCTTTTCTTATAAACCAGACTGATCTTCCTGAGACAGAAGTGCTGTCTCCCTAGGGTAAGGAGAGGGTAATAGCCTAGCTCTTCAGAGAAGAGGGAGGAGAGAAATCCTGAGACCCTTGGCAGGGGTCTCTGCATATGCAGCTCAAGGCCCTATTTCTCCCAGGAGGGAAGGTGACAGCTCCTGAGGACTCCCAAGTGAGAGGCACTATGCTGGGCTTTCAAACATGCTTTTCTCAATTTGGGGCCAATCCTTTCCCCAACCCAAGAATTTAGAGAGGCCTCAAGTACAAGTTCCCCGTCTTAACATTTCCCAGACTTGCTACTCCCTACCCTATGAATTTTTCAAACTCCGGAAGCGGTTAGGGAAGATAAAAAGAAATCTGGCGGGGACTAAGAGATAGAACGGGAAGAGAACAATGTTAAGGCAAGAAGAGAGTTATACTTGGTTGGTGCCCGGGATCAGTAAAGATTAAGATAAGAATTTGGTCTGACCCTTTCCAAGCCCAGTATGTCCATCAGAAGAGGTGACGAGGAGCAGGAAACTGATGCCCAGCAAACAGGTGGCCACGAGACGAGGCCGCATCTCCATGGTGGTTGGCGCGCGAGGCCACGGAGCTGAACGAACGCACAGCCAGAGATCTAGCAGAAGATCCGCGCTGCTCACCAGCGCGGCTCAGCCCAACCCCTCGCAGATTTTTTTTTTTTTTTTTTTTTCCTCCAAACTCTGAAGGAAGTGATGTTAGACGGATGTGGGTGGTGCCGCCAAGGTCCGGTTTAGGATGGAGTGAGTTTAAAGGTGCAGATCACGTAGAAGGGTGCGTGAGTTGCATTCGATGGTAAATTGCTTTCCGCGGGTTCTGCACGTCCAGGTCCGAGAAGCCAGTAGTAAAAGGTGGGCCTATATGATAGAGGTTGTGAGGGAAGGTTCGGGGGAACCGTTGCTGGTTACGTCCGCCAGCCACTCTGGCCCCTCCCCCCAAGAACCTCTGCACTTGATATTCAAAACACAATATTATTGATCGGTGAGGTCAGGCGCTCCCCCCTCAGCAAATAAAATAGGATAATTGGGTTTCATTGTTTTGTTTCTGCTCAAGTCTCTGAGGAGACTTAGCAAACCTGTTCTGCAATGCCTGGTCTCATGCCTTACAGGCATGCTCCTTCCTACTGGAGAAGCGCTGGACCTTATTTTGCCCTATAGTTGCAAACCTTCCAGTCAGAGATGATGCAACTAACTGATGTAAGCTCCGAGAAAACCGAACTTGGGTCCTTAAATTGCAAAACTGACCTAGGGGACCAGGACATGAGTCACTGCAGGCATTTGAAGTGTAAAGCTTCTGTTGAAATATTTATTTTTGTTGTGAGTTGAATATTCTAAATTTTCCTTCTCTGTTGCATAACAGGTCACAATTTCCCTTCTTTCCTCCTGGTACTAGTTGAGTCCCCAAAGCACGTTCTTAACACACAGTAAAGAGATCAGAACAGGGGCCAGCATGTAGCACGGTGGTTGAGGGCGCTTGACTCTCACGTGTCAACCGCAGTTCGAGTCCTGGACCTAGCGGCTTGCTTTCTCACTTTCCCTCTCTCACGCTGTCCCTCTCTGATCACATTAAAAATAAACAAATAAAGTTAAATAAGATAATTCTTTTTAAAAAATCAGAACAAAAGATCACACCCAAACAAAAACACGCACAGCCCGTTTATTAGATTACCTACAAATCTTAAGCACGGACACAATAGAATGGTCCAGAGACTACAAGCTCCAGGATGCAGCGCGGCTGCCTGCACCTGCCACCAATAGGAATCCTGCGGTGCGCAGAGCAGGCTGGGCTTTGTAGTTCGGGGTGCACTCCGGAGATAGGCCGTCCTGGCGAAGGAGAGGCGGGGCCGGCTGGGTCACGTGGGCCCCGCTCCCGCCGCCGCGGTCGTCTTTCTCTGTCTCCGCTGAGGCAGCCATCTTGTTCTTTCCGCGTGCTGGTGTTGGAGGACCCTCCCTGCCACAGGTGAGACCCCCGGCGGTCCCGCCACTCCACGGCCATAGGCCTCTGCGCACGGTCTCCCCCCGCCCTCTTCTGCCAACACCCACCAACCACTCAGGCTGCCAATTCCACCATGGCTCGGCGAGTGGGGGCGGAGGCTGCTGGCTTGGCGTGTGGGTTACCCGCGGTGCAGCTGGGGGTCGGCACCTGAGGGAAGGTCCCCAGCACCACCAGCTCCTGTGGGGGCCAGCGGGCCTGCGCGGTGGCCGCCGAGATCCAGTCCCAGGGGACGGTGAACTCCCGCGCCCCGTCCCACAGCCACAGTGCCGGGAGCGCTGGGCTCCGAGCAGCCCGTCCGTTGTCATCGCATTTGCGCCTCCGGGCTACAGACGGGAGTGAGGTTAGCACTCCCCGCCCGGACCTCTGCCGCCCCCGGCGCCGCGCTCGCCACCTCGCCGTGGCCGCGTTTGTTTACAAGTCTCCCGTTTCAGACGTTGCCTTGCACATCTTTATAGCCCGGCCCCGTGTCCGATGAGTGACCGGCAGGCACCGTGTTTGTTACACAGCTAGTGAATGGCGGTTTCAACTTCCCTTCCCACGTTCTTTCACTACACTGTAGCCAGCCTCTCGGAGTGGTAACCGTAGTTACCAGTTATTGAGGATCTTCGGTGAGCCATACCTTGTGTCTGATGATCTAACTTTTCCCTGTGAAGCATGTGGTGTTACACCTTTCCTAATGCAGGGGCAACACAGGTTCAGAGACGGAAAATAGCTTTCTGAAGCCTGGAGTGATAAAACCTTGGGCTGATTCCAGTCTGTGCCTCTCGTAGGGAAACCCGACGTAATAAAAAATCGGGGCTAGAGATTGAAATGATCTTTCTCTCTGTGTAAACATGTCTGTGAAAGTGCCTACCACAATGCTTGGAATTTAGGCACTCAGTAAATACTGATTAACCTCATTATCTATACTTTCTTGAATCTTTGAGGAAAGTGCTAAAAGATCATTGGATCCCTAAAGAAATCATTAATCATGTGGCTTTAGGAAGTTACTTCTTCCTTTCGGAAAAAGGGACTAGGAAGGGACTGCTCCCTTCTGGGCCCTCATTTCCTGGGAAGGAGGTAAACTGTTCTGTCGGTGTTATAATTAATACCCTGCTGCTGCCAGCAAGTTTTCCAAATGGCCTTACAGATAAGATAGGAATGATGGGTACAGTAAAGGTTGACAAACAGGGAATTAAACCAGGTGATCTGTTGAGGTCTACTCCAGATTTTAAGCTTAACATCTCTCCATGGACTGAGTCCAGTCCTCTTTTCTACTTGAATTACACACACACACACACACACACACACCCTAACTCGCTAATAGACAAAAGACCACCCTCTTACTCCCTTGCTGCCTTGAGTTTCCAATCTCCCTAAAATGCCTTTTCCCTGAGATATTCCTTGGGGATGAGAGTTCTCAGTTCTATTGTCTGGCCACTTGACATGGAATCTATTCTTTCATCAACATATTGATTTAAAGAGTTTATTTTGTTGCCCTCCCCCACACCCCCAAGCAAGTCAGGACTCTTTGTCTGGACTTTCCATCTCATTTCTTGGGGACTGTTATTTCAGAATGAGTCCCAAAGGGCTTACCCCATGACAAGTTCTAATATTTTCATTTAGCCCCTTTTTTACAAGAAATTCCTTAGACTCTTTGTTAGTTCACTATACCTTCATGGCCACATTTGTGTGAAAAGTGAATATGGGCCTTTTTCTGTGGATATTTGCATTTAGAGATTAGAATTTACATCACTGAGTCTATGGCAGAGCTAAGATCGACACACACCTAAGATTCGAAACACACTCCCTCCTCTAAAAGTATGTTTTTCGTTGCTTGAACATGTGATAGAGTACAGAGCAAATAGTGAGGAGCCATAAATTCTGAATATTATTTGTGAGCTGAACTTTAGTGTTAAAGCAGAGAAATACAGAGGTTGGTGCCAAAGTACAGTGTCAGAGTACAGAATGGTTACTAATTATATAATCTTTGATTCTCTTTTCTCCCGCTTCTCTTATCTTTTTCATGTGAGTGATGATTGTACAAGAGTTAGAGAATTAGCGAAAAAAAGTTTTGATAACAGCCTTTCCCCCTCCCTCACATCTCAGTAATGGTCTATTGATCACAGAACAAGTAAAACAAGATTTTTAAATTGGCTTTGTTTACAGAGTATCTATTGTTATGAACTTAAGAACATTGCCTTTTCTTTAGTATGACCATCACTGACCAGACTAGGATTCATGACTTCATAGTGTTCTTCAAATCTTCAAAATCAAGATTATCTTTAAAAAGCTTATAGTGAGTTTCCCTGCCTCCTCCCATGTAGTAGAAATGTTTTTGTTAAATTGTGCAGTGAAACATTTTACCCTGTATATAAGAACATCTTGAGTATGGCATCCTGTATGAGTATAAGGTATTGACTGAACTCTGGAGAGTGCTGCAGAAGCATGCAATGTCTGGAAATCTGGTTCTGTTTCCCTATTAACACAACATCTGACCTTGAACAGAGGACGTGACTACAGGCTAGACAGCCTATTGTTGAATTTCTTTGTCTGTTTTTTTTTTCCTTTTTGTTCATTTATGGTTTATAAGAAATATAAATTGTGATTCCAGAGAAGAAAATCTACCTGAAAATTTTACTAATAACATTTGGTAACAGCTCTTTGCTGTAAAAATCTTTGGAGAAAAAAACTGGCTTGCCTACAGAGATTTCCTAATTGGTTAGGTTTTACTGAATGCCAAAGAGTGAATCATGTTTTAAGGAGGGATCTTCAAATAGGTGACTGAATTCCATTCTGTTTTTCATTTACATATTTGACTCCTTCATGGTGTTATTTTAATTTTGATTTCTTAAGTATCTGGTTTATGAAGCTAGACAAGTCATTAATGTTTATTAAGCATATAGACAGTATCAATATGATCATGGTGTTGATACATACTGTAAGCTCAGTAAACCACAAAGTACTATTTGCATCAACAGCTTTTAAAAATTTTGGTAAAACAGTGACTTTAACAAATTTATTTTTCCCCCCCCTAGATTTACCAACAGCATGAATCAAGAAAAGTTAGCCAAACTTCAGGCTCAGGTCCGGATAGGGGGAAAGGTGAGTGTGGCATAAGAAAAACTGACAGGCAAATGTATGATTACCAGATAGTATCATTATTTTGGAGTTGTGGTCATTAAAAATCTAATTTTTTTTTTAATAATCAAGATCAAACCACATTCCAATTTGAAAATAGTTTGTGTAGATCTAAACTAGCTAACGCAAGGCTTTTCTTTCTGATGGTGACATAGAAATAGCCACCTTTGTTTGGATCCTAATTCTTGACACCTGCTAGTTATGTTACATGAACAAATTACCCAACTTTGTTAAGCTTTAATTTTCTTTTCTGCACAATAAAAATAATCCTAATAAGATGCTTTAATGGATCAGGGTAATATCTGTAAACCACCTAACATAGAAATTGGCAGAGTAGATGCTTAATAAATCATAGCTATTATATTGGGCTCACCTACAGGGCATACCAGATGTTAGGGTTACCTAATCATTATTGGATGTACCTACTAGTTTAAGTGGAGATGCTCAAGCTGATTGTACATTTCATTCACTACCAGATTTTCTCCCAATTCTGCCCTATTCTATGCTGGTGAATATGGACATGAGCTTTCTTATTTCGTGTACTTTAAGGCTAAGGAAGAGCTGGTTCTGTGCCCCCAAAATCTTCCCGTCAGCTGTGGTCCCAGGCTCAAAGGGAAGAATATTCTTCCCTTATCAGTGATAATACAATCTCTGCAAAAGAAAAAGGCAGAATAATAGTTACCTCAGACCTGAAGAAAGAGTAGGTAAGGCAATACTTTATGTAGCGAACCCCACTGTATCATTTACATTGAGGGTAACCACAGCTCAGTGGATGGGAACCAGAGGGGAAGAGAAGTAACTAGTACTTTCTCCTTTCACAGTGATACAGTAGGCATATTAACACATTCATGTAACCACAGCAGTCACATTGTAGCATTAAATGCAGTATAAAGTACCAATGCAAAAACTAGGGATATTTAAGAGCAGTAGAATATACCTGGAGCTTGATTATATATTTTAAACAGGTGGTTTTATCTAGATACTGTTTATTGAGCTCTCCATACAGCTCAGCTTGGAAGAGAGACATGATCACAATTACAACGCAGAAGAATTGAGTGTTTTAATGAAGTACAAGATACTCTTGCCTAGAAGAGACAAGTTAACACTGAACTGGGATTTAAAGGATAAACAAGACTTTATCACTAGGCAGACAAGTAAAAGGGTTCATGGGAGGTAGGGTGAAACAGGAATCATTATTCCCACACATGCAAAAACATATAATGGAATGACTTGCTTTAGTTTGAATGCAGGGAGAGTTTAGAGTTAGTGTGTTTATTTATTCATTTAAGAATTGTTTATTTAATTTTATTTACTCATTTATTTTAATTTGACCAAAGAAAGACACACACACAGTGAGAGAGAGAGGGAAACCGTAAAAGCCAGCCACCAGGCCCAGGACTCGAACCGTGGTCGGCCATGTGTGAGTGTCCAGCACCTTAACCACTACACCACCTGCTGATCTTCAGAGTTTAAGAGTTTATAATGAATAGACAATCACAGGAAATGAAATGACTAGGTAGTTTGGGGTTTCCACTGTAGTTTTATATGCTATACTTAGGAGTTGGAGATTTTATTCTATAGTTACTGAACAACTATTTAAGGATTTTAAGAAGGAAATGACAACCGTTTTAGAAAAACTTGCTGGCAATGTGGAAAATAGGATGAAATAGAAGTTTGGTATAGAGGAGAACAGTGAAGGGGCTATTGCTATAGTATGTGGGGCACAAATTCAGGAGTTAGAATGGTATGACTTAATGATTGATGGGATATGGGGGATAAAGGGCAGAAAGAAGATTCAGGATTACCCCTCAGACTTTGGGTTTTAGAGATTGGTTTTATGGTGATGCCATCAACTATGAGACTTAGGAAATAAAGGAAGACTAGATTGGTGGACTGATAAGGTTTTAGACATAGTATTTAAAGTGTCTGATGTTCGTTTGAGTTGAGGTATCCAGCAAGCAATTGATCTATTCCTGAATCAGGAAATACTCTCAAATAAATGACCATCTGGGAAAATAGTCCTTCAGCAACTGGGTATTGTCACAACCTGTGCTGCTAGAGCTCTCTTCCATTCGCACCAGAGCTACTGAGACAAGCTCCTGCCTCCCTCCATAAAGGCTGATTTGATTCTTTGAGTATTATTAGGAACTCTAAGAAATTAAAACCATTTCTTTCCCCTTATTCGTGGTTTTAGAAAGATTTAACTCTCAAGATTTAGGCTGCTTTTGGTAATGTTTCAGCTCTGGTTTAGGTTACAGATGACCCAAGAATTTAATCTATTATTTTGATTTTTTTTTTTTTTATTATTCAAAATGTATTTAGAGATTCAGGACCAGCAGATGGAGTACTGGCTATGTTGCTGGACTCCCATGTATTCAACCACGGTTCAAGTCCCAGACCTGGTGGCTTAAACTCACTCTGGGTGCATGTGTGTGCATGTGCCCGAGAGGAAAATGGAGGAGAAGGGATTGCGGCATGGCCATCCATCCTCGGGGGTGATTTCTCACTTTCTGTCTCTCTGTCTCTGTCTTTCTTGGGATTGCATGTGCTCTATAGCAAAAACCTCTAGAAAAATGTATGTAGAGTTTCAAAATAACAATTTAGAAATGAACTTTTAATATCTTAATAAGTAGTGGAATTTGCAACCTGTTTGCTTAGGCCAGAATTCCTTCTTTTTTTTTGAGAGTTTTTTTCTACAGGGTGCACACACTCACGAGAAGGAGACGGAAAGTGAGAAATCACTCCCATGACCATGCCACAATCCCTTCTCCTCCATTCTCCTCTTGGAATCTTGGGCATGCCTGAACACACGCCTGGCATTAGTTTAAACAACTGGGTCCGGAACTAGAACCACGGTCGACTACATGGGAGTCCAGCAATGTAGCCATTACACCAAGTGCTGGTCTCTCTCTCTCTCTTTTTTTTTTAAAAGTATTATTTTATTTAGGGGCTGGCAGGTGGCATGGTGGTTAGGGGTACTAGACTTCCACATGGCCAATCATGGTTTGAGTCGGGCCTGGAGGCTTGCTTTTTTTTCTCTCTCACTCTCACTCTGTCCCTCTCTGGTCAGATTTAAATAAATAAATAACATAATTTTTTTTTTTTTAAGAATTATTTTATTTAGCCATTTATTTATTTTAAAGAATTATGTTATGTTATTTATTTATTTAAATTTGACCAGAGAGGGACAGAATGTGAGAGAGAGAGAGAGAGGAGAGAAAGAGAGAGAAAGTGAGAAAACAAGCCGCCAGTCCAGAACTTGAACCATGGTTGCTCATGTGGAAGTCTAGTGCCCTTAACCACCACACCACCTGCTGGCCCCAAGGCAGAATTCTAAGCAACATTCTAGGTTCCTTTTTTCCTCGTATTTCACATATAATGCACCAGCAAATCATGTTGTCTCTTGTGAAAATGTGACTCCTCACCATATCCACTGCTACAACCTTCATCTCAATCCAGGTCTGCAATAGGAGCCTCCTGACCGATCTCATTAATTAGTCCATTTTCCTTCCACATAGCAACCTCTGTCATAAAAAAAGTAAGTCAGATCAAGTCAGTCTTGTGGGAAAAAACCTTTTGATGACTTCCTGTTGTAGTTAGTATAAAACCCAGTTCCTGCCTATGGTATTCTAGGCAACATAATCTGGCCTTTGCCTTTCTTCCAGATTTCATTTTCTTCCTTCCTTCCTGTTGTTTATTCTGCTGTAGCTGTACTGGCCTGCTTTTTCTCTCCAGAAAGGAAAAGTTCAATCTCATTCCATTCTGCCCAGATCACTCTTCCCCTAGTTGTGGGTCTTCAGAGAGGCCTTCCCTGGAAACTGATAAAGTAGTACTTTTCTCCCACCCACTCACTCTTATTACTGTATGCCATTTTTTGTTTTTACATAATAGCCCTTATCCTGTTAGAAATTAATCTAATTTGTGTGTTCACTGACTTTTTTCTTCTCTTGTAATATGTGCTTCTTGAAATTAGAACTTTATCCTTTGCATCATAGGAGTCTCAGAATCTAGAATACATAGTAGGTAGGCATTTTGTTCTCAATTATGTCATGATTCTCAAGGTTTTAGAGTATCTTTTGGCTTCATTCGCAAGAGGTGATAATTACTTTAAGAAAGCAATCCTTATATTGAAAGTTGTTATAAAATATACTATCAATAAATCTTTTAGTTAAAGATTATGTTTTATTAACAAACCATGTTTTAGAACATAATAAGTTGAATCAATAAAGTCTGGATATTGGATAAGAATAAGAACTGGCTAGAACTGACCTTGAAAAATCTGGGTCAGGCTGACAATCACAACTCTTATTAATCATTGCTGTTTAGTCCGTTTTTTACATGGGTCAGTTAGATTTGTGTCGTGGATAGGAAGAAATGGTTGCACTTGCTAGATGCTAGGCACATTAACACTTTTGTTTGCTTGTTTTTCAGGGTACAGCTCGCAGAAAGAAGAAGGTGGTACACAGAACAGCTACAGCTGATGACAAAAAACTTCAGAGTTCTCTAAAAAAACTGGCTGTCAATAATATAGCTGGTATTGAAGAGGTATGATCACTTTGTAAATTATTAAATTATGGGGGCACGTGTGCAAATGATTGCCTAGATTTTTTCAAATAAAAAATATTAGCTCAGAAGAATTTTTGATATTGCTACTTGGATGTCTTTGAAGGACTGTAGCTGTCAAATTTGGTTTTGGTTCTTTTCATTGCCATAAGGCACCTGCTGCACTCACCAGAAACAGTCAGGGAGAGGGAGAAAGTACCTCTCCAGTGGGGGATAGTCACATCATAATTCCTTCTCCATTTTTCTATCCTTTCAGGATTTGGAGCACACATGCACGTGTGGCGTGTGTGTTTTTAAAGCCACTGATACCAGGACTGAACTGTAAAAGGCCCTCTGGGATCCAGTTCCCTTAAGCACTAGGCCAAGGACAGTCCTTCAGTTTTATATCTTTGCCTACCTTTCTACTCTCCATCTGCTCTGCTTGCCCATCCCCACCCCCAACTAGTACTACTGACATTTGGAACTAGGCAGTTCTTTGTTATAGGAACTGGCCTGTGCATTATAGGATGTTTGCAGTGTTACTGACCTCCACCCACTAGATGCCAGTAGCACCCCTACTTCTGCCCCAGGTTGTGACAGTCAATAATGTCTCCACATATTGTGGAATGTAGGCCTGGCCCTAAGGCCTTGTAGTTAGGATTAAGGGATCCAAATCCCACGTGGCCAACCATAGTTCAGTCCTGGCCCTGGCACCCTGAAAACCATACCAGGTGTGTATGCTTATGTGCCCTAAATCCCAACAGGATAGAGAAATGTAGGAGAAGGGATTGCAGTATTACCACGCACCACTTGGGGAGTTCTTTCTCTCTTCTGTCTGGCAAATACACATACCCTCTGGCAATTAAAAAATACATAGGTGCCAGCATGTGGCATGGTAGTTAAGGTGCTAGAGTCCCACATGGCCAACCACCATTTTGAGTCCTGGACCCTATGGCTTGAAAATCACAGTGAGTGCATGTCTGTGTATACCCAAAAACCCAAGAGGAAAATGAAGAAGAAGGGACTGCAGCATGGCCATTCTCCTAGTGGGCGATTTCTCAGTTTCACTCTGTCTCTTTCTGGTAAGTGTACATATCCTATGGCAAAAACCTAAATATATATATCTATAGATTTGTTTATTCATTCATCCTTAGAAGCTAAATCGCTTTCGGTTAAGGAATATTTCCTTAGAGATGGAGGGACCAGCAGGTGGTGTGGTTAAGGTGCTGGACACTCCCACATGGCTGATCATGGTTCAAGTCCCAGACCTGGTGGCTTGCTTTCTCTCTCTCTCTCTCTCTCTCTTTGTGTCTCTCTCTAGTCAAATTGAAATAAAATGAATGAATAAATAAAATTAAATAAATCATTCTTTTAAAAAGAAAGAGAGGTGGGGGAATTTATACCTTCCTTATAGTTTAGAATTAACTATGTAATATCCCTAAGGGTATATTTGTCTAAATGTTTTTCTTCAGATTTGGAAAGTTTAATGGCTCTTATAATTAGTAGAACTTTTAGTGGAGGGCCCAGCAAGTGTCATGGTGGTTAAGGCACTGGACTCCCACATGGCCAACTATGGTTTGAGTCCCAGACCTGTCAGCTTACTTTCTTACTTTCCCTCTCTGTGTGTGTCCAGTGAGTGTACCTACCCTGTAGCAAATTGAAAAATAATAATAATGATAAATAAAATTAAATAAAAATAATTCTTTAAAAAAAAAAAAAACTTAGGGACTGGCAGGTGACTTGGTGATTAAGGTGCTAGACTCCCACATGGCTGACTCTGGTTTGAGTCCTAGACCTGGCAGCTTGCTTTCTCACTCAATCTTTCTCCCTGGTCAAACTAAAAATAATAACAACAAATAAAATAATTTTTAAAAAATCCTTTTAGTGGAGGGATAGCATTAACTTTATAAATGTTTTACAATGAAGTGAGGAATCAGAAAACAGACAAACCTATATTGCTGTGAAGTCATGGTATTGTTTTACTTGAAATTTTTATAATAAAGAGCATGATGATAGTCAGAACTTACTGAACACCTACTATAACAAGCATTTTGCTAAGGACTTACTAAATAGTGGTGCATAGATATAATCCATGATTTCTGTACTTTGTAGCTTACACTCTAGTAGGGAAACTTAATGGGACAACTAGACAAATACATATGTGTTATCTGATTTCTTCTTCACAATATCTCTTCAAGTTGACTGTTTCTTGATTATAGTCTTGTATACCCTGTATCCTGCCATATATCTTGTGTTATTAAGTACATACCATGCAGAATTCATTATTTACAGCATTACAATAAAAGATGTCCTCATCAGTATTTCCAAGGACACTGCTGTTTCTCCTTTTTGAAGTCTTAATGTAGGCATTATTTATTCCCAGAATCCTACTTTGTAGTGACCACATGACTTTTGTACAAACAAGGGTTAGGTGCCTTTTCTATGTGCCTCCACAATACCCAGAATTTATTTTTATTATAGCGCTTAATACCATTGTGGATTATTTTTTGTTGACACTGCTATGGAATTCTAATTTTTGAAAAGTCATAGCACCCAAAACATCACACAGGAAATTAATGGTATATAATAGGCACATGTATACTCTTTTTTTTTTGGTGACGTTTTCACTATAGGGCGTGTGCGCTCGCCAGAAAGACAGAGACAGAAAGCGAGAAATCACCCCCCAGGGGGGATGACCATGCCACAATCCCTTCTCCATTCTCCTCTCAGGATCTTGGGCACGCATGCACACGCGCCCGGCGTGAGTTTAAGCCACCGGGTCCGGGACTAGAACAATGGTAGACTACATGGGAGTCCAGTGATGTAGCCATTACACCAACTGCTGGTCCCTAAATTTTTTTTTTAAGAATTATTTTATTTTACTTTATTTAATTGTTTTAATTTGACCAGAGAGAAAGAGAGAAAATGATAAAAAGCAAGCTGCCAGGTCCAGGACTTGAACCTGGATCGGCCATGTGGGAGTCCAGTGCCATTAACCACCACACCATCTGCCGGCCCCTAAAATATTTTTGTTTAGCCAGCAGGGGGTCTAGTGGTTAAGGTGCTGTACTCCCATGTCGTCAACCGCAGTTTGAGTCCTGGACCCAGTGATTTTGCTTTCTTTTGCCTCTTTCTCTCTGTTATTCTCTAGTGAATTCAAATAATAATAACAATAATAAATAAAATTAAATAAAATAATTCTTTCTAAAAAAGAGAAAGAAATGTCAACTCTGATTCACATTCCTTAATTGTTCAAATTGCTTCATAGAATTTTACTGTTATATTCAAAGGACAACTTCTGCCTTAATAAAATTCTGCCTCTATGAAGCTTTCTTATCTTTCCAGGTATAATGAATCAACCTTTCATTCTTCCAATGTTTTTAGCTTAAGTTTACCATCTCATGTTGTGGTATATAATGGTTACTTATTAACCAAGTAGTCTGCTTTCAGTAGATTAGAGTCATAACAGCAGGAACCATATTTATTCATTGTTTATAGTCTATAGCAAGCTGGCGCCCATTATGAGTTTGCTTGCGGCCAGTTAAATGTAAGATTCTAGGTAGAATTGTTTTGCAATAAATCGGCCACAGGAACTGCAGTTTGGGAGAAAGCTTGGGGCTGGGGATATAAATTTTGTAGTTGTACATGTAAGTTTTGTTTTTTTGCCATAGGGCATATGTGCCTGGCAGAGAGACAGAGAAAGTGAAAATGAGAGAAGTTATCCCTTGGGGGTTTGTACATGCCGCATTTTCTTCTCCATTCTCCCCTCGTGACATGTGTCTGGTGTGATTTTTAAGTTGCTTGGTCTAGGAATTGAACTGGGGTCAGCCGTGTGAGAGGCCAGTGCCTTAACCACCATGCCACCTGCTGGCTCCTGTACACATAAGTTTTACTGTTTATATATTTCTCTTTCTGTTTCTTATTTTTCCTGAACCAGATGTGCCAAATGAAGACCTAAAGTTATTAGTTGATTCTTCCTACAGTTCCATTTTCCTCCAGCTAGAGTCTCAGGTGCTGAGAGGTAGGCAGTTCTGAGTAAAAGAGAGCAAAGAAGAAGAGCATCCTTACTTTCTCTCTCTTTTTTTTTTTTTTTGGAGAGATTTTTGCTATAGGAGCGCGTGCGTTTGCCAGACAGAGAGAGACATAGAGACAGAAAGTGAGAAATCACCCCCCAGGGGGGATGGTCACGCCACAATCCCTTCTCCTCCATTCTCCTCTCGGGATCTTGGGCACACATGCACACGCGCCCGGCATGAGTTTTAAGCCACCGGGTCCAGGACGTGAACTGTGGTCAACTATGTGGGAGTCCAGCGACATAGCCATTACCCTAACTGCTGGTTCCCCTTACTTTCTCTCTTAAGGTCCTGTTCTTTTGCATTTTTGTTTTGTTTACTACTGGTTTTTTGGTGTTTTGTTTTTTTTTTGTTTTTTTGTTTTGTTTTTCAGAGAGATTTTTGCTATAGGGTGCATTGCTCGTTGAAGACACAAAGAGGGACAGGAAACACCCCCCCTGGGGGAATGGCCATGCCACAATCCCTTCAAATCCATTCTCCTTTTGGGATTTCTGGGCACGCATGTACATGTGCCTGGCATAAGACCTAAGCTATTAGATCCAGGACTCAAACTGATTTGCTATATGGGAGTCCAGTGCCTTAATCACCATGCCACTTGTTGGCCCTTATTACTGTTTTTATTGTACTAAAATATATTTAACACAAAATTTGCCATTTCATTTTAACCTTTTCTATTTTTTTAAATTTTGCTAGAGAATATGTGCATTCACTAAAGAAAAACAGAAACAGAGGAGGAGAAAGCACCTCTATGGGGACTGATTGTGCCATAATGCCATCTCCTCTATCTTTCCCTCCTTTTAGGATTTTGGACACATGCACACATACCCAGTATGCTTTTCAAATCACTAGGCCCAGGGCTTAAATGGTATAACCAGCTATCTGAGATCCAGCTCATGTAACCACCAGGCCTTACTCTGGCTGGCCCTACTG